AACAATTCCATTCGAAAAAAGCGAAAAAAAGCATTTTCGGTTTTCTCCATATAACTCGAGAAGGGCGAGAGTCCCAGTAAATTTTCTTCGACCATTGTATTGTTTCCGATGACAGTTACCTTTTTTCCCATTTTTTCGACTGGTATCTGTTACTATTCAGAATATAGCAATGTTACCACATAAAAAAAGAAACGGCCTGTATAATAGATTCTCAAATATTCACCAAAAACGAAACTATTTTTTCAGTAAATTATTTGTAATTCCCTCAAAAAATTTCTAGGTGACATTAAACGTCGAATGACATCATGATCATAATTTTCAATGAATTGACATTCACTAGTCAGCGTGCTTATTGTAAATGAATCCTATAAGTATCTAACAATATAAAAATTTTTCATAAACGAGAAATCTGAAAGAAAGCCATTAATTTTCCACTATGGCCATTCAGAGTTCAATATTTCAACTTTCTCACTTCTATTTTATACCTAGCAACCTACTTAGTCTTTTTAATAATTATAGGAACGTAATAATTTTTTGAACAGTAAAATCCCCAAATCTATGCCANCTTTTTAATAATTATAGGAACGTAATAATTTTTTGAACAGTAAAATCCCCAAATCTATGCCAATTTGAAATTGACAAAAAACTTATACTTTGGAATACGAAATTGATCACAAACTATTATCACAAACTGATCTTTTGAACACAACATTTTGGCAAAATGTAATTTCTTACATGAAACCCCACGTTAAAAGAATAAAACCTATTCAATAAGAAGTATGTAAATATAACGTAAAAGGAAATATCTAGTATAATTTCAATTATTTTTTTCTCAGTCCCACTTACCTTGAATTGCAGCAATTTGTTGTTCTCTGGTAGTGCCTTGTGTTGATTCATGTTTAGGAAGAAAAATCAAATTGTTCTCCGTCCAAGTATCAACTTCAATTTCATTATTTATTTTAGCTGAAGCTATCAGTCTTCGAGAACGCGTGTTCATAATGCACACTTTACTATGGTAACTTATGAACTAATCAAACACCAAACATGTATTAGGTAAATATATTGTCGGTTTTTCGGCAACAGTGCATTTCTCATTATAGAGGGCGCTAGAGTACTACCACGCCCAAGATGCCATAATTGGGCTGTGTACGCAACATGCTACATCATCATCAGTGGCAACTCACACACATTTATAGTTAAATTCATTAAAATTTCACAATACTCAGAATTCAGTATGCTTGTGAAGTTGTTTCCTGGTTCTGTCTGTAGATGGTGCAGTGGACCTCCCACTGACTCAATTGCAGAAAGATTTCATGACTAGCTAAAATTATATTTGTTTGGTAGTGATACTCAGACGGTTAACACCGTTCTGAAGAGACCATGCCCGGCACTGATGATGGGGCAATCACCCCGAAACCGGTCTATCGGTTGGTCGGATCGACCAAACGAAATTAATTTCTGCTTTTCATAGTGGAAAATAACTTGCGACGAATCTTCCAAATCGAAGACGCTGCACAGGTGTCTGATGGTTTTACTTCAACTCTCTGCGCGGCATTAGCATTAGCATTAGCACGTGATTTCTTGATGAGTGTGATGACGGCACACTGTTTGAAAAAAAGGACTTCTCACTGAAAACTAAATTTATTATGGGAGGAGATGTGTGTATCTATTAACGACCGGTTTCGGGTTTTATCCCATTATCAAGTAGAAAATTTAGTTAGTCACTTTTTTTATTCGTTTTTATGACTAGTGGGAATTAGACAAAAGTGTTTTCATTCATTTCATCAGAGTGATCATGAATTTCCACAAAATAAGCTAGTCATCAATTACATAGTTGTCGGTTGATTGGTCAAACCACCAACACTGACATAAAAACTTGGCAAGTTGATTTGGTTGTCACACCAATAGATGGTTACACTTATATCTTGCTTGCGTTTACGCAGTTATTTCTATCAAGTACTTTTCTTGGTTATTCACATTTTGTCTTCAATCGAGGACCGCCTGCCCGGTACTGACGATGCCCAACAGGCTGAAACAGGTGTCTACCGGTGGCTCCTAAATTGAAATCAATACGGGAATGATCAGAATAGTGCTTATCTATTTATTTTTTTATTTCCATGGAATTATATCCCAGCAGCTTGACTGCATTATAAGGCCGGTATCGACAGTGCGAGGTTGCTCGCTGCGAATGCCTCGTGCCATCTGCCTCAGGGTGAGCTCTTCAGCTAGCAGCTGTTTGTGACCACGAATGCTCACTGCGAGCACGCGAACCACCCGCATTCGTAGTAAAGACAGTCGGGACAATATATTTGTTTTCTCTAGAAATGCGCAAGTTGCTGCCGCTGCTTTTATCGTGATGGCGACGATTATTAGGAAAAAACAATAGAAAAAGCGACGTAAACCCCGTTGGTGGGTCGAAAAAATTTATCGAAATCGGTTCGAATATGGGAACAGATTCCTAGAAGACGTGAGGTTCGAAGAACCTTTCTTGCGAATGTCCAAGCAAGATTTTGAACATTTAATTACATTGATAGAGCCTGCCGTGAAGAAACATGACACGTACATGCGAAGTGCTATTACCACCAAGGAAAGATTAGCTGTTACTCTGAGATTCTTAGCTACTGGAGACTCATTTACAAGTTTGCAATACCTCTTTCGTATATCCAAACAACGAATATCTGTGATTATTCCAGAAGTATGTGATGCACTGATTGAAGCCCTAAGGGACTACATAAAGGTAAGAAAACAATTTCCTTCAAAAGATCAATATATTGTAATGTAAAACAATGTAGCTTGCATATTACAACATGTCATGTTATTCAATTTGTTCAGGAGTAATGTTAGTCAGGTAGTGTAGTAAGGACGTGCCTTCTTGTAGTGGAGGCCTTGAATCAATTTCTGATTGAATAAGTAAAGCATCGGAAGGTGGAGGAGTAGGAGTTGGAGGGTAACTACCTCCAGACAAAATCGGTGTGGGTGTACTGTAATTTGAACTGTAGTAACCCGCAGTGTTGCGTACGTTGTGAGTGGGGGTAAATTCTCCTATATCAGCTCTGAACAACACGTCTGATATTGCCCTCTTCACATGAGGTAGAGTGTTGCAGTCATATTCCCTTAGTTTACTTGTCACATGTATTCCAAAAGTTTCATAGTGGTCAGTAGAAGTATCCGAAGTCTTTTTCAAAATGGAGTAGGCATTAAGTAGCATTTCATTTTGTGCATTATCAGCATCATTGCGACGTTTTCTTTTCTTAGCTTGGGACATGTTAGAAGTAGACACCGTCGATGTAGACGCCGTCGTGGTACTCGTAGACGCCGCCGTTGCAGTTATAGACGCCATCGTTGAATTAGTAGACGCCGGTGGTTCATCTTCGACCGTTGCGGGTTCATGGACAATAGATTCATCATGGTATGATTACTCTCGAGTTTCCTCGGGATCCCTTTGCGTATTAGCCTGTTAATAAAATATAAAAGCCTAATCCTGTAGAATGGTGTTTTATAAATACTACCAAATAGCCAGTTTTCCTGATTTTTTGAATTATTAATGTGTCATTCATTTTAGGTACTCTCTTCCGAAGAAGAATGGTTAGCTGTAGCAAAGGAATTCGAAGAAAAGTGGAACATTCCTCATGTAATAGGTGCAATGGACGGTAAACATGTCCAGCTTCAAGCACCATGGAACAGTGGCACTGAGTATTATATTTATAAGGGTTTTTCTAGTATTGTGCTCTTTGCATTAGTTGACGCCAACTACAATTTTTTGTATGTTGATGTTGGCTGCCCTGGTAGATTTTCAGATGGAGGTGTTTTCAAAAATAATAAATTCTATAACAAGTTAGAAAACAAGGAACTGAACATACCAAACCCAAAATCAGTGCAAATTCCTTATAGTATTAAGGTTCCTTATATGATATTAGGTGATCAAGCATTTGACTTAAACGAATATACTATGACACCATTTACAGGTACTCCACCAGTTGGTTCTATTGAAAGAATTTTCAACTACCGCCTATCCAGAGGACGTAGGGTCGTAGATAATGCTTTTGGAGTAGCTAATTCTGTATTTCGGGTTTTGAGAAAACCAATACTACTACAATCCGACAAGGCAAAGAAAGTAGTGTTAGCAGTTGTATATCTACTACAAATCCTATCTACACACCGCCTGGTTTCTTAGACAGAGAGGAAAATGGTCAATTCATTCCGGGAACATGGAGAAACAACGATGAATCCGGTGGCCTGATCCCAATAGGACAGACACCTCGAAGAGCAAAGCTGACATCCAAGAAAATCCGAACCCATCTGGCTGAGCACTTTGCCACTAATGGCTCAATTTCATGGCAAAATGTTTATTAATGTTTCCCTGGTATATGGAGGAACAACAATGAATACGGTGGCCTCATCCCAATAGGACAAACACCACGAAGAGCAAGTCTGACTTTAAACAAGAAATGTGAACCCTTTCAACAAAAAATGTGAACCCATCTGGTTCAGGACTTTGCCACTAATGGCTCAATTCTTTGGCAAAATAACTACCTATCAATGTTTGTTTTTACATCGTTATTTTTAAAGCTTCAACTACAAAAATGTTTTGTAAATGTACTCACATTATCCATTGTAACGAACGTGTCATTTGGCATGTCCTTATCAGATAGAAAGTCGAACCATGTGTATGCAAACCATTTGGACTTGTAAACATCTCCTCGACCTGTAAAATTAAATCTCAATAATTGCTTGCGAATTTAACTTACATAGTAAAATTCCAAAATACAGTGTATTATAACTTCAAAATCAAAAACAAACAATATATAATAACTTCTAAATTGTGCGATGTCTTTCATAACAAAGTTATCTTCTTCTGGATCTTCACAAAATAAGAACAAAAACAAGTATGATAATATAGACATTGATAAAAACATATGATTTATATTTCAAAATGAGTTGATTATAAATATTTTTGTATGTATGTATACAAATTATCAATGATAAATTAATGTTGTGGAAGTAAATTTAAAAGAAAAGAAATTTGAATTGGTGGTTTTTCAATGTTCATTAAATTATCGTCATCTTAATAACTGTACAAATATGTAATCGGTGAAATTTGTAAATACCTTTTTGAATTTTGTTTGCATTGTATTATGTAGCAAAAAAAATTCCTGATCCTGTAATTTGACTTTTATTTTCCCTTGACCTTTCACGTCGGTAAGACCCCAACAGAGACGTCACATCTTCATTTTCACATCTTTCACCGAAACATTCATCGACTGCGATATTTCGCGCCACAAGTCGTCTCTCTTGTTTTTATTATAATATTCAGGGTGTTTCGAGTCCCACAGTAAACGTTTGGTTTCATAACACTTCACTAATTGTCTGATCATTTCATGATTATCCATGATGATACTTTCGTTGTGGAGGTTTGTTGGTTTGCAGTGCAGAATTGTGTCTTGTACGGTGCGAGGCAGACAGCGAAGGTATCCACTTGACGCACAGCTCGGAGCGAGGCAACTTTGTGCGCTACTCTAAAACCGACAAGCACACGGTTCGCCTCACATTGTGCGACGCGAACGGCTCATAGCGAGCAACCCCGGTATCCACAGTCCGAGGCAATGTCGAGCATTCGCCACGAGGTATTCGCAGCGAGCAGCCTCGCACTGTCGATACCGGCCTTTATTTCTCGATTTTATATCATTTTTAGGAACATGTGGATTCGTTTTCCAATGGCATTCCAAAAATAGCTTCCCAAATGTCTACCACCGCAGTTGTCGGTTGATTGGTCAAACCACCAACAATGACATACAAACTTGGCAAGTTGACTTGGGTGTCACACCAATAGGTGGTTCCACTTTTGTCTCGCTTGCGTTTACGCAGTTATTTTCATCAAGTACTTTTCTTGGTTATTCACATTTTGTCTTCAATCTAGGACCGCCTGCCCGGTACTGACGATGCATATGACAGGCATATGTATAATTACTGAACTATTGGGGTACGCAGCATGCGAAAGAATACTCTTGGGACATTGATTCCAATATTTCGACACTTTTTATTGTCAAAATCAGGGAAACTACAAGAGTAAGAAAATGTGTATTTACATATTGCTAATTTTTGAAAAAACTACGTGCATTGTCCATGAGGTTGTATGCAAATGGTGGAAAAATCAAGAAATATATGTACAACAAAACATTTTGGCGAAGTTGAAAATACAATCTTTGTGATAGATTGAAATAATATTGCTATGAAACAATATGAGAATACAAAATAACGAGAATATTCGAATATTGAAGTTGATGAACACTTTTTTCACACCAAGGTCAAATTTTAACAGTGGCACCAATCTAATCAGTTAAGGCAACTCAAAAACCAGTTTCATAGAACATTAAGTTGAGATGTATCACATCTTTTATTTGAATAAAATCGAATATATTAGAATATAAATTTATAAGTTCCACAATATGAAATAAATAAACTTGAAGCTAATATTTGAAAATATGTTAAAAATATGACAAATCATAAGAAAGGTTCTGGACATTTCCTTGATACAAGTGCAACAGGTAGGAATATATTGCACTTAAATGGTTGATATCAGGTTTTTTATCAGAGCATGAAGGTGGTGATTGTGAGATGGCCTTTATCTTTTTTTTTTAGAATTTGGATTTAGGTAGCAGTGGAATTATCAAGCTCATAGCAATTCGGTTACTTTTATAAGTAATTTACAAAGAGTTATCGACGGTGTTTCGAATCATCTTCCAAAATGAATGCAAATATCGATTATTCAAAAGGGTTTCATTTGAAAAAATGAACTTTTGACTACTTTTATGCACAATGGAAATAATAGTAATTTCAGCACGCCCTGTATGATATGGAGTCGATTTCTTGGTATAATTTGAATATTTCGAGTTTGTCCAAACTATCATTAAAATATCAACTTCTCATGAATTGAGAGTATTGATGTACTTAATTTTAATTAAGGCTATGTTTTGGACCATATTCAGCACAATTTATTTTTATCTCGAAAACAGATAGAGATAGGTATAGGACATTATCAACAAAAAAGTATCAAAATACTAGAGCGATTCCAAAAATGTATTCCATTTGAAAAAATGAAGTTGCTAGGATTTTTTGATGGAAGTGGCAACGCCGCAATGCTGATCATCATCAAGTGTTGTCTATCCTTTACACTTGGCTGTACCGTACTGACGAAGGCTAAATAGCCAGAAACACGTGTCTGCGGTTTGCCCACCTTCCTATGAGTGCTTTCTCCAATAACTATTTTCCATTGATAATACCATCTCACTCAAGATCCCATCTTTCATGTTTGATTTATCTTGGACCCGGATGTCACGCACGTTGCTATAGCTGCACACGTGACGGAGTTGGGAGTTAGTCCTTGTAATCACAAGGTCTTCCAACGATGACACGAAATAGCAGTCATCATAATGACTCATCAAACCTCTACCCCTTGAGAGGGGAAACAATTTTGGGATTTTGTTAAAAAACTTTCGAAACGAGATCCATAGAAAGAGTTGTCCACGTGCTGTATTAAGATTTGTATGTTCTGTACACTCACGCCAACGTGAGATCCGTCGGTAGGGCGCAGCCATTGTTGAATTTGGCGTTAAAATGCGATCCCTTAGCAGGTGCTTGATAAAAAGACCACGTGCTAGACATTAGTTCGCATCGGAACAGGTCAATTTTAGTTGCCCTTAAACACACAATTGAATTTAAAGATATATTGAAGACAACTGCGAAATGTCGCGGGGAAAGTATATAGTGAAGTTGGTGGAATTACAAGTGGAAACAAATGAGGAAATAGATAGTTTCTATAATTGTGTTATTCCTTTTCACAAGAGAATGCGAGCAATAATATGAAATGTGTCTAAATAAGGATTTCTAACATTCAAGAAAAAGTTAAATTATGACTGCAGTAAAATAATCACATTTTGTTGATTTCATAAAAGGTTTACGCTATTATTTTCCTGTTGAACAACACTCTCCCAGTCGACGATGTGCTACTCATTATCAACCCATGCTAGGTGGCAAAAACGTAGTTCTTTTTTCAACACGCTTTTGTTTGGTTCACCTGTAACTACAAATAATGCAATAACAAAGACCAATGAAAATATAAGAATTTCCAGATATTTGAAGTTAAATAAGTGTATACGTATGTTATATGGATACTCATTAGTTGCTATGAAAGTTTTTCTATATCGGGAATCTTTTGTAAACAAAATCCCTCAGAAATGCCAACAATTTTTTAAATACTTGAAGTCATACTCATTGCATGGTACGAAATCTGTTGGTTTTAATGTTATAAATAGTTACTTACACATTCCTTCCAAAAAGCAGGAAATTTTGATATATATGCTGAACTGGTTTTTTCGGGTATTTGATCCGTGTATGTGATATTATCTCTAACTTCACCGACGTTTCGACAAAATCTCATTTCGTGACAATAGAATTTGGTACATTCACTAGTTTAAAAACCAAGATGAATAATGAACATTGAGGCGTTGCAGTGTCAAGTATTTATAGTGCTGATCTGAATCGATTCTTGATGGTTAGTGAATATTTTGAAAAGTTCGAAAGGCTTGATGTATGGTGGTCAGCTGAATCAATGGTCCTTCTTCCTTTTGTGCTTCTCGTTTGAGGAATTGATTACTAATCCTATTCTTACATGTGCAGTAAACTAACAATACAATCACAAAAATGACTAAGATTATTGTTAATACATAATGTGTAAAATAGGATTTCAACTTATATTGTCATTTAGTAGCTGATCTTCATTTCTCAATTTATCCAAATCTTCCAAATGAATTTGTTCCAATGATATGACTGAACTAATGGGATATTTATCTTGGTCGATTCGTGGTACTTTGAAAGTTATATTTGAATAATGATTTTCAAATTTCTGACTCCAATAATTACAGTACATTTGTTTGGTGACGATATTATGCTATTATTTTGACCAATTTTTGTTTTTACATGGTCATTGCATTCTTCCAAAAATCTTTAGTTCATTTCGGGTTGAAACAAGAATCTGATTATTTGTTAATTGCTTCACAATTTCGAAATCATTAATGACTTCAATGAATTTACAGGTTTTCAAATCAGATAATTGACAATCATTTCTCCATAAAAATATAGTGTTCGTTAATGTTCTTGCACTTTTCACTTGTCCATCATGTTTTTGAATTTCCACTCTCCAGTAATTCATAAGGATAGGGTAGATGTAGGATTTGGAAATGAATATTAGGTAGAGGATAAATACGTTGATAGGTGTAGTTATTAGAATTCGGGATAGGAATGAATAATATACAAGTGATAGTGTTATTGATTATTACTGATTTGATTTTCGAGAATTCGACAACTTAAATAGGTGAGTTTTGTCAATATCGATTAATTGATTTGGCTGATAGGTTTCTTCTAAATGGTTAGTAATTTTTCTCAATTCATTACTCTCGAATATTTCTAACTTAGTTATTTCGTTGAAGGCTAGAGAGATTGTTCTCTGAACTGATTTTATGATTTCTAAAAGATTGTGAGCATTGAAAATGTTTTGTTAAGAATGATTATTATAAAGACTTCGAATGTTTTGGTTTAGTTCTTGTAAATCCGTTTGATCCAAATTACCGGCAATGTATCTAATTACTGAACCTGGAGCATTTACTAAAGCTCTTTTACTTCTTGGTTTCAATTTCAATATTTCGTTTTCTATTTGTAAACAAAGT